AAGTATGATTTACAAAGAGAAGTAACAGAACATGCTCATTCTGTGAGCAAGATGAATAGAGTTCATCCTCCACACTTCCTAGAAGCATCTGACATTTGGAGCATTTTTCTCCATGTTAAGTTTGGCTGTAAGCCAGAAACACACATACCAGCCAGCAAGCTTGGAAAGTGGACCAAAGCAAAGATCACTTAGATGAACTCCAGTTGTCCGGGCAACCAACAAATGCAACTGTTTATTTCCAAGGCTTTTATGAATTAATAAGCACAATTTCAACATGACTGCACTGGCAGCATTTCCTCTACTGAAGAAAAAATAACTGAGAGAACAGATAGGGATACCAACACTGCATAAACTTACTTTGGCCCGGTTTCTATTGACAAGAAACTTAAAATTCTTGGAATAGCACAGTGGAAGTCTACAAGATTTATAAATACATAAATCAAATAACTGTGAAGGGCTCCCCTACTACTTCGCACTACATGCCCTCATATAATCTTAGTTTTATATGTCATGAGACACAAATTAGTGGAGAATTACTTATATGGACAGATAAGCAAGGGAGCTGTTTGGTGACTTTAAAAAATTTAGAACTGACAAATTGATTAAATTTGTCAATTATGATTTTAGTGAGAATCCTGAAAACATTTCCCTCAAACCCAAACCTGCACAGGAAGATTCTTAAGACTACTGGTTTGCTGACTGCACTATTAGAAGGAGAACTTAGTCATGGAATTTAGGAAGTGGGCACGGAAATACAAAGCATTCATACTAGGAAAATACTGTTTCATGCATTTCATATTTTTCTTCATAACCATTGAGAACTTGTTGGGTTTTTCTACCAAAATCTTTACCAAAAGCTGGCTTACCTTACTTTTAAAGCTTTTACTGAGAATAGAATAGGATCTCTGAAGCCTTTGTTGAAGGAATGACAAATAGTAAAACCAGTGACGTATGAGGTGAACTTCTATGTATTTTTTTCCTTTTGGATAATTCTTCTATAACAGGTAAAACTGGAATTCAGAAATGCAGAATCTCTACAAAACCAGTGTATCCCACTGCATACAGTTTTAAGCATATCACTCTTCTGGAAGGGATTGGTGAGATCAATCCCATGATATTGTGATGCTTCAGCTTCCTTCTACCCTGTGTAGCTCTCATGAATTAATGTTATCAGAAACATTACAGTCTCCTTCCTGACTCATCTGCACTCCAGAGAACCTTTCATCCCGACAGCCAAGCTGGAGAGGGAGTCCTTTAAGGAGTGTATGGAGAAAGAACAGTGACATCGTACTGTTGCTCCATGGACATTATAGCTACACAGCTCTTTTAGTTGCCTTCCATATTACTGGAGATTATGAATTAAGGTCTACATACATTACAGCTACATGTATTTTTTATTATTTGGAAAAAAAAATAAAAAATCCAAACAAAAAAAGAGAAAGCCATTATTTCAGATTATTTAGATGTCAGTCAGATGAGAACACACATTTTTTTCCTCCATGTTTGTGTGTCTTACATGGCTTTTCTAAACATATGTAATGACGAAAAATTTTGATTTTTCAGTCGCAACTTGTCTTCTGGCACTTAGCTCCACCTGCTGACAATTCTTTAAGTATTGCAAAGGCTGCATACAAAATTTAATTTTTATCAGTGGTTCCAGTATAATGCTGTAGTACTCAACATAAATATACTTGACACATTTCTATAGTGAGAAAACCATAGTTTTAAATACATGTTCTTAAAAGTAATGGGATTGCACCTATATAATATTTGTTTTTACCTTGAAAAGCAAAAGGAGAAAACATTTTAAAGTGGAATACAGATTTCACTGTATTATTGCTAAACAAAATTAATTACTATTTTATTTTAACTAGGCTTAAGCACTTTGTGAAGATTTCCTACTCTGTAACAACTTCCAAGCTAACACTGACGCTGTAATTTTAAACTTTTGAAATGGAAACCACCATCGTTGTACTTAATTACCTGAGTAAGCATTTAACTGGCACTGCAATATTCCAAATATTCCTGGTGGTTTTATTTCTATTCAGATTTTAAGATATAAGTGTTGTTGTTGTTGTTGCATTTGCTTTAATTACAGAGGACTACTGCCATGCTCTGTTAACCATACTAATAGCAAGAACAGCATTTATACCTTAGAACAAAAGACAGGCCGTACATCCATTGACCTAACACCTAAACATGAAACACTAGTTCAAGCTTCCAGCTACTGGTTAATTTTTGTAAAGTAACATAATACATACCCAATCAATCTGGACGCATTTGGGAAATAAACCCAAAAGTTTACAAGGAATAACCAGCTTTTTCTTAGTATTTATCTCTTAAACATAAGTATAGAAGAAAAAGTTAACTATGGTTTTTTGGATTACATAGTGCATTGTATAACCTGAACAGGCTCAAAGCCATTATTTTAAACTTGTAGCAACTTCAGCATTAAAATTATCTCTGTCTTGCATGGTCATCTCAGTAGAAAGGCATAAATACTAGGAAAAAAAAATTTGCCACATATGAAGCCAAAACTAATAAATGCAATGTTCAGTAATGGCCAAAAGTAGAAATTCTTTTTCAACTCCTTGCTATGGTACATCACTGAACAAAAGAGAAGCATCCGGCAATTTCCTTTTTAATTAAAATGTACACATAAACACCAATACACAGCTAACATTCTGCAAACAATAAAATACATTGAATAAATCAAACCATACTGAAGACACTAACAATGTGTGCAGTCTACAGTTTACAGAGACAAAAAAAGAACAAGGAAAGAAAGGAAGTTATAACAAATACGTGTAACACTGTCTATAAAAACACATCAAAAAGCACTTCATAATTTCATTCCTTGTTAGTATTCTAGTGTACTGTTACCTAATGTATGAGATGGAAAACAACACAATTTGTGCACTAATCTACTATGAATTTAATTGTATTTATATGACAGCTTATAAATACTCAAACCGGAAACTTTACAAAATGTTTTGCATATCATATTTTTAATTTTAAATTACAAAAAAACCCTCATTTGTGACTGAATACACTAAAATTTACTTCATATGCATGCTCACCACACAAGCCAACTCTGATTTTGTCATTCCTAGGAATAGAATTCGTAAAACAAGCGTTTCTGATGAAGTTCTGAAGAGGAATACATAGCCACATTCAAATGTAGTATCAGACAACATTTAAATGAACTGCTTCTGGATACAGACAAGAAACCTAGACAGAATCATAGCTGAAGAAACAGCAATCCTCTTCAATGATACCACAATGAGCAATCAGCAGTAAGAACATTTCATTTTAATCATTTAACAGCTGCACAATTTTAAGCAGTTTTGCCTAAAAAAACACCCTATTATAAAAAGCATCAGGAAGCTTATTTATTTGAACAGCCTGTTGGTGTATTATTTTTTCATCTTGAAATACAGTCAAGACTGCCCTCTCATGTTACAGGAACTTAAAAAAAGTTCAGTTTAGATTTGCGCTGCATCTACCACTTTTTAATCAATTTTACTAGCACATGATATTAACTTAATGGTTAGACAAAATGTAAGTGGTATCTGCCTGTTTTAAATAAATTACTCAAGGGAAATCACTCAACATTGAAGTCAAATTCCATTATTTTTCCTGAGTATTCTTTACTTTGTGTTGTACATACATGCAAGGATTATTTTCTCATGCCCATTGAATCAGAGATTTGGATACAGGATGACAGTTTTTAGTACTCATACACTGAGGTAGAAAAATACCAGTCTCTTGATTAGACTCATCACCTCAACTAACCCTTACGGACAATATTCACTAGCAATATACACATCCTGTAGTAACGCTGCATATAAATAACTATGAAATACCATAATTACTATAACTAACATATGAAACAACTAACAAGAAAGCCTACCCCAAAAAGATTCCAAGCCAACTAATCTTTCACAATCATTACCCTAATCTTTCCTTCTCCACCTTTTTGTGCTTTAGCAACTCCTCCTAGATTATGATTAGCATCCCACCTTTGTGAAATTATGTTTTGTACCAGTGAAAATGGCAACAATCTGCCAGTGCCTTGTAAGTACTAAACAGTAGTGGAAGTAAGAGAATACTGATAATTAAGTGTATCTGTAGAAAGAGAATGGAAATAAAAACAAACTTGGTTCCGCAAATAGAGAAAACAAAAGCATTCTTACCAGAAACAATCATTTCATTATTATTTCACTGAGCTAGTGCTCTGTGGGCCAAAACAAATGGCAAGCTAAACCTCCAAAGAAAACAAGTCGTCAAAATCTCATATATGTCAAACTTAATCCATAAAAGCAAACACTACTGCTTTTCCCTTTAGTAATCAGAGTTTGGTTTTTTTATGCAGCCTACTGTCCCTACACATAGCTGCATTCAATTGAGAAAAGGAAGTCACAAAATATTAGCAAAGTACTTGTTCAAATTACATGGGGCCTCATCATAGTACAAAACGTTCCTTTTGATAATTAAGAGGATGTAAATATTTAAAAGTAAGTTGCAAAGAAACCAGCGTTTTGTTTCTATTCAAAGAAAAGAGTAATTAGTATACATAAAAGTAACTTCTTAGTTACACAATGTGTACAGCAATTCCAGCAGCTTTTACTGTTATATTTCTATCTACAACTCTGAAGGTTCAACACAGTCAATGAAATTACCAGTAGCTACTCAGCTATGTTTACTAAATCTATTTAAGGTTTTATCCATTTGATTATAAAACAGTCTAATGAGAATCTAAGCATCAACTGTACAGAAGAACAAACCAAGTCCACAGACATATAGGGAGCGTTACAAGTCGTTCACACTTAAAAAAAAAAATAAAAAAAATTGCACAACTGAACCTTTTTTTTAGACAAGTCTCCACGAATGGTAATTGAGGTTTACTCAGTCATCCCTGTGAATATCTTGGGACTCTATCCAGCACTAAAGTACAATAGAAAGGCTGCACACTTCAGTAAAACAGATGTAAAACTTACCATAGAAGTCACTGATCTGGCATCTTCTTCATAATTCACTACAGGTGGTGGCTCTTTCCCATCATTCTCTTGAACTTTTTGTTCCAGTAGTTCTTTCTGGGCTGCAAATTTTGCCTCAGAGCATCTTAATTGCTGAACTGTTTGCTTAAGTTCTTCCAGCGCTTGCTTTTGGCTCAGTAAGAGTACAATACTGCAGAGAAAAATAACAAACCATTTTAAAATATACATGACTTAAAATACATGGTTTGTTTCATAAATCTTTTTAAAAAAAAAAAGACAAACATACAAAAAAGAGCACGAAAACTTCTCAACAGAATTATCTGTTCAAAGGCATAAACACATGACGCAATTCTAGAAAATTTCCAAAGCTATAAGGCAATGCGAGCACCTACTTTGCCATTCTCTTTTCTCAATCTATCCCCAAATCATGTTGTAATAAATATAGATGAAACTCCTATTTTTGTCCATTTTTTACTGAATTTATAAACACTAGGGTTCACCATTCTTTAGAGAAGAAATACAATTTTGGTTTATGATTTCCAGCAGTGAGAAATCCACTGCAATCCACATAGTTGTTGTTATACTAATTAGCACTATAAATTCACTTTACATCCAGTATAAATTCATTTGGCGTAAAGTTAGATTTATCTGCTGTGTCTTCTGGACTGAAAGGTCCTCTACTAAATAGGTATTTCTGAACTGCAATATAGCATTCTGCTATACAAAGCTAAGTAAATACTCTATGAGGAGGTAAACGCAATTTTTTCTTGCCTTCTGCATGTTTTATGGCTCTTCTATGAATACCCCTCATGCCCCTGAATACTTCAAGACAGACGCAATTCAATCATTACTGAAGGACAAGCAGACCTGTCAAAACATCTGCAGGTACCTATATGACTCAATTATCCCCAAGAAATGCCAAAACCAAAGGTGACCAGAAGCTGCCCAAAAGACAGAATCATTCACAGTACTATACAGATACCCTTTAAGGCACTCAACTGAAGCCCAGTGACATGTCATCTATAAAGAAATGCAAAGTTCTAACAGTCTGCAAGCACAGGTGAAGGAGGTAGAGTGACCAGAACTGTAAAGAATGAGGACAAGCTGAAGAAAAATCACAGTATTCCATCTCTGTGTATCTTTCTGATAATCCCTGAAGACAAGAGCCTCCTGCATGGCCTACCCTTAGAGAAAAAAAGTCACAGATACTGAGATTCACAAACTGATGCTGTACCAAATGACTACTCAAACAGGTTCACAAATGATAACAGAACCATGTCATAAAATCCTCATTGGCAAAAAAAGATAAAAATAATACCCCTATAGATTAGCATTGTACCAAGTCACCAAAGAACAGAATTCTCTACAATCAGCAGCATAATCATTCATGTTAAAATAATAAGTATGATGTATAAAGACACAAACAGAGCACTTGAAACAAAGAAGTTGTGGCTACCCCATCCCTGACAGTGTTCAAGGCCATACTGGATGGCTCTTGGAGCAACCTGGTCTAGTGGAAGCTGTCCCTACCCATGGCAGGGGGCTGGAACTAGATGATCTTTAAGCTCCCTTCCAAACCAAACCATTCTATGATTCTGTGAAACTGAGGTTTGTCATGAAGACTGCACACATTTAAAAGCACCACAGAAACAAAACCACCATTATTCTGACATTATCCTCAAGATAATGTTCTTTCATATGGTTCTCTAGAAAAAAAAGAGATCACCCTGTGAAAATTATGCTCTTCCACCATCTGCAGGGCCTTGGTTATGGTGGCTAGAATGACAAATCTCAAACACTGAATGGCTTCCTTCTTATCATGATCTGGAGATAAGACACACCTTTCAAGTTAAAAGTCACAAGCTATTCTCCCTCCTCAACTGTGGCAAAAGGGATTACCATCTAATTGGCTTGCCCAAATCCAACATAGACTGCTCGCCATTCCATCTATGTAAGAGGAATTAGAACCTATAAAACTATTTGCCTATGGTTTGCCTGAGTGCAAACTTTATAATCCTTGTGGCATATTAAGAGCTGCTACACCTCAGAGAGTAAGATCTTGTGTGAAGAATCCTTGTAAGACCTGAAGAGGGCAACATGTTGGGAAGTGGTAAAAAGGTTAACTGAATTAAAAAACAAATATTCAATATGCTATCATGTTAGGAAGGCAGATGGTATGTCTTACATACACATATATAAATAAAACATAAAAACACTCCCTGTGTTATGGGTGATACTGTCATTTGAAGAAGGAAATGGATATTGATAATTATATCTTTATATATTTATAATTATTAATGCAGAGAAACACAATATCAGAGACCTGAAGATACAGTTCTGTACATGCCCTAATTAAAAGCTTAATATACGCAAAGATCAATTTGTAGTTTTGCCAGAATTAGACAATGAGAAATGTTTTTAAGCTCCAACCCAGACTGCTGCTGTGAATCCAGTAAACAACTCAGAACATGTGGTACTGAAGCTGTATCATAAAGAGGTAGGGGGACAGCTGAAGTCCAAACTGCTTCAAGTGAAGAGACAGAAAACACTATTTTGCAGACTTTTACCATCATTTTGCCCAGATAAAGTAGACAAGTAGAATTCCTCAGCACTGAAGGGCAATGCTCAGCACATTGGGTGAGGCTCAACAATAACATAGGGTCGAGAGCTCTTGCATTTGGAGCAGGCCTCCTCACTCTCTTTTCCCAATGACAGACTTGCACTGCACCAACAGAATAACCTCTGGCTCAGGAAGCAAACTTTCATTTTTTTGTTCAACTACCTTTATTTTTCGCCTTGTCTTGCAGCACTGATGCCAGTCCGTATGCTATGACAGTAGTCAAGAGCACTTAACAGTTGGATGAGAGATCTTCTGTGGACCCTAAGCACATGCAAAAAGATTCTGATCACTCTGAACTGCAGTTAAAAGGTGACAATAGGGTCTGTTGGAGGAAGGCATGACCAATGACAAATCAGAACTGGGATGATTTCATGGAAGCTTTTATCTGACAACTAGAAATCTAAACCAAATTTCATGCCTTTTAATACAACCTACAAGTGCTGGTGCAGACTGAACTGGAATCAGCCCCACAAACATCTACGGGATCAGTCAAAGGAGTCTTCCCACAGTGAGAAACACAGGGATGGTCTGAACTCTTTTCATAGAGAGGTAACTAATAATTATACTGAGGAAAACACCAAACCAAACCAAAAAGAAAAACACACCACCAAACTCATCTAGTTCAAATACCATTTATCCTTTAAGTAACATGCAGCAAGGAAGGTAGGTCAAGAACCAAGACTGGAAAATATACTGTGCCTATATGTGAATTTCACCAAAGAAAGGACAGGAAAGTATCTAACCAAAACACTAATATATACATTACATACGTAAAATTTTGTTTATGAATAAAATTATATCCAAAGTATCAAGTGACAAGTTGCCTTCAACAAGGAGCTTCAAGACTTCTTCAGCGAATGAAGAAAGGATTACCTGAGGACTTGTGTTCCAATTCACTGGTATTATAAACTCATATTTATGACCACGTTAGTAAGGTTATGACTGATTGCAGCAAGAATCAGAAAAACATCACCACAACAGGTTTGGTTGTGTGTTGTATTAACTTCAGTTTAGACTGGAATGTGAGTATTTTTTCTAACCAGAGGTAGAAAAAAAACTAAAGATCTTGTCCAATAATAATCTTTTACCAATAATATAATAATCTTTTACTTATGGCACTGTAAAGCACTCATTAATCCCTCACCTTCATTATTTATGATGCTGTACTACAATGTATCAGATCTACATTCAGTTTTGTAAAGAAAATGCAACAAAGAATTAACCTGATGAGCTCAAACCTATTCTTGCATAAGTACATCTTGAGCATGAGTCTGAAAGTCTTTCACAAAACTGTATCTACACAATAAACTCCATCAGAGAGGCAATCTAAATTGACCGCTCTTCTTCCATCAGGCTCAAGTTACAAATAACAAAAGGTCCAGTTCTTGAGCCATCTCAACACTGTGACAATTATAGCGAACTAATGGATCTGCTCAGTTCTCTACTGAATTAGGATCTGCAGTGGGTAAGGGTTATTTTAGAGATGAGGTATTCTTTTTCAAAATAATCTCTTCTCACAAAAGCAGAATATGATCAGTGATTGTTAATTCTTACTTCATAGGAAATTGATTATAGGTACTTTTCCCTCACATTACTGTATTTTGAAATTTCATTTTGACTTACTCAGACTTCTTTTCACAAGTCTTAGAGGACTCTTCTATTTTTTTCTCCAGTTCCAAAACAAGTTCCTCTTTGCTCAAAAGGTTTTGCTGTGTCTGAATCAGTTCTTCTATTACAGTTTTTAACCTGTAAGACACAGATTTCAGAAACCCACATTATTAATATGGAAACTGTATATATTTGGGAACATTATATTTTCTTCCTTAAGATGTAAAAGAGCATTACTCTTTACATTACCTTACTCAGTGCCTGGTAATCCTCTTCTGTGGATGGATGTTTATATTATGTTATTAACTCAAATTATTACAGACCCCATACTAATTTCTGTACACATACAAGCTTACAGAATGATCTGCTGCCTGCAGGCTCTCCTGAAGAAAATTTCTTCCAGAGAATGTGTTATGAGTTCTGTGAATTAATACCTTCCTAATATATTGCTAATTTATGAGACATTTTATGAA